AAAAAAAAAAAAAAAAAAAAGAACCAAAACCAGAAAAAAAAAACTTGAACTTGTTGAGCCTTTAAGTGCTCTACTTTACCAACACCACCTCAATTTCTGATACTCACCATTGTTGCATTTTGCAGCTCTGCATATTTTCTTCCCGGAAAAGTCCCATTAAAACCGGTACTCGCCTTATCGAATTGCTCTTCATGCACAACTCGACGTGTCTCTGTCTTCCATTTGATAATCTTAAACCGGACATTAGTTTCGATCCGAACCACAAACTCCACATCTCCACCATTATCACTTCCTCTCCAAAATTCTCGACCCGAACGGACCATAATCTCATACACAGTACAATTCTTGTAACCCTGATAAAAACCCGGTGTCGAGTTTCTCCCCATAAAAGCCCTACTTTTCCCATACAATTCCAAGCTGATGTCATCATAGTAAATCCCCATGCGCTTGTTTGGATTAAAGATTCTCACTTCAAATGTTACACTGCTGTTCGGAACTCGAACCGTCGCATTGTGGTGAGACGAGCGATTGTCGTGATCATGAACGTGTAAACGAACGACCGAGATTCCGAATTTCGGGTTTTTCGGAGTTAGGCTAAGCCATGCAACCACACCAGCCAAACTGAGGACAGTGAACACACAGAAGAACCAAAAGTAGAGCCCTTGTTCAGATTTGCCATTTTTCTTGGTAGCCATTTTAGTATGAGAAATGAACTGTTTGAGAAAGGATAGTTTGTGGACTCTAGGGTTGTAGAATGTGAAGGGCTTTGTTTTATATGAAAGGAAGTTAGAAAGGCAACTTTATTATAATAATGTAATAATAATGAGGTAAATTCAACCAAATAATAATGGTATGGTATATAAAAATAAAAAAATAAAAAAACACAGCTCTATATTTAAAAGAGAGATAATTTTTAGATAATTAAGCACCGCCTGCAAAGCCCAAAGGTGGATCATGTAGAGTTGAGAGATAAACATCAATTTAATTTTTACCTTTTCCTGTTTTGTTCTTTTAACTTTTTTAAAAGTCTTGAAATGTTTGTCAAACAGGTGAGCCTAGATGAACCCAATAAGGTCCATCTAAGTTCACTTTGCTTTGATTCGTTTCACGTTTTTGGGACCGTACCCGTCAATCCTGTTTCTTCATTTATAAATATATAATTGTGTCATTTATGTAAGAGATCGGTTAATATTCGGTCTATGAGAAATTGAGTAGTTAGATTACAAGATCTGTTTGGAAAGCGGCATTTTTTCCCATATAAATCTCAAAATGAGTATGTTGTTTGGTGTTTTACATAATAATTTTATCTTTGAAGTCTTCTGATAATATTCGGTCTATGAGAAATTGAGAAGTTAGACTGGATTACTAGATCTGTTTTGAAAATTTAAACGAGTTTATATACATAATAATTTTATCTTTGAAGTGATCTGATAATATTTGGGCTATGAGAAATTGAGTAGTCAAAAGAAGTGATCTGATAACATTTTTCCCATCAATCTCAAAATATGTTTGTTTGTAAGAGTTTCAAGAAAAGTTAAACAGTTATTTACATCAATTTCTCTAACAACATTTCTAATATTACATCACATTCCAATTAGATGATTAAACAATTATAATAATTATTAAAAAAAAAAACACCCTACATTTGCTCGAAAACACATAATTACGAATTGTGCCAGGTCGTAGCTGCATTAGGAGACATTACATTAGATAGACTCCGGTGATACACTAAGAGAGTCGGCTAGGTAGTACACAATGAGGATTCCCCGCCTGACGGAAAGCTCCCGAAAGCTGTGCTTGCCACTACTGCCTAATAGGGTTTTCGAGTTTCATGTTGTAGGCTTTTTTTCGATGGCCGAGAACCATTTCTTGATGATTGAGTCTTTCCTGAGCTTTTCCTGATGAGTAGAAAGAATGCTAGGAAAGCATTGCGAGGCTTAAGACATACCGGGAATGTGCGCGACTACGTAAAGGCATTCTCTGCGCTGATGCTGGACATTCGAAACATGACGGAGGAGGACAAATTGTTTCAGTTTCTGGAAGGGCTGAAAAGCATAGCATAGGTTCTCCATAAGAGGGGCGAAGCTTCCACACAAATTGCGCGAAAAGGGTCGAGGCTTTCAGTTTAGCAGTCTAAAGTCCCCAACTATCTGGAGAGGGCCGACAATCAGAGTGGGTGGAGGAAGAAGAGCGGGCAAAGGTCTCGCCCGACAGGTTGGGTTTCATAGACCCTGAACCGACAAGTTGAGTTTCATGGACCCTTCGTGCCTGGTCCATAGCCCGGCCCGAGTTTGGGCCGTCCCAAATAAAAAATTAAATAAATAAATAAATCAATGTGTTTTTCTCGGGCTGGCCCGGCCCGCCAGGCCAAGGTCAACAAAAATAAGGCCCTTGACCGGCTCGGTTGAAATCCGAGTTGGGCCCAAATCAGTGGTCAACGGGTTTGATCGCGTCGGGTCTGTGCCGGGTCGATGGGTCAGGTGACCCGTGGCCACGTCTAATTACGATATGACATATTTTGATGTGGGAACAAAGGAGAAACCAATCCCCTCATTTTGCAAGGTAGATCCATGCGTACGGTTTTGGGTAGTGGCGGTAGATAATTATCAAAGTATAGTAGAGATTGAAATTTACCTTCCCATGTGTCATTGTTTTAATAGATGCATGTCCTACATACATAGCACTCCGCAACCAAAACTACTTGGTGGACTATGAACAACAAATTGGGTTTCCTCTGAAAATTGGACCTCACATTTAAATTGGGATGTAATATCGAACTTGGTCATTTATCGTCCTCAGTACACGTGTTGATATAGTACCCTTGATAGTTTGGTGAACCCGCTTGAGTGGTTAGCTCGAGAGTGACCGATTCAGGAGAGCTTTACTTGACTGCGTCGGGAAGGTCAATGTCGTAGCTCAAGGTATGATCTGAATAAGGAAGTGAGTAGCCGAGCTCTTTATAAAGCCTAACCAGACGAGGGGTCAGTACGACCTAAAAGTCGTACAATGGGGTCAGTACGACCTAATTTAAGGCAAGAGTCATCAGCTCCCCGCCAGAGATGCCAATGGTGGCGAACCAAGAGCAGGTCGTCGTGGTTCCGAACACTAGACTCAACGAGAGGGTCGAGGAGTAGTGCCTTGAGGTCTCTGGGGATACCCAACCTCAAGGACAGGGTGGGCAAAAGGAAAACCTCGATGAGATGTAGGTTCACATAGGGAATAAGGTAATCCAACTTCTAGGACGGAAACTAGATAGAATTGTGGCCGAGGTAGTGGTCTGGGCCCGAACAAACCCCATACGCCCATGGCCACAACCAGAGAAGAGCAGAGGACATAGAGGTGGGGTCAATAACTTCTTCGAGCACATTATCCCGACCTGTCAGGGACGCTACCTTAGAGAGGTAAGAAACCCAGTTACGCGTGCTACAAGTCTGAGTAGTACCCAAAATTCATGGGCACCCGTTTTTAAACAAGTGTTGGAGGTCGACTTTTCATACAATTTATGCGAATTGAACATGTCTTATGATGGGTCGACAGAACCAATCGGACACTTAAGAATCTTTGAGAACATAGTGATGTTGCATCGCTATGTGACACAGTTTCCTGTAGAGCTTTCCTAAATACCCTGAAGGGATCCACACATGATTTGTTTCACCAGTTGTCTGCTCGTTCAATCTATAGCTTTGAGTGGTTGCGCTCACAGTTCATCAACATTTCTCTAGTGCAAGAAAGCACAAGAAGACCTACCTAACCATGATCCACATGCAACAAAGAAAGGGTGAGACCCTTCAAGTGTATGTGGCTCGATATACTAGGGAAT